TCTTTTAAAATTAAGTTCTAAAATGTTTTAAACAAAAGTACACTAGATGTTTTTTGATCCCCACCACGTAGAAATGGACTCATCCGGATAAAATATACTATAAGTGTACCTCGCGTGCTTGAGCAGATAGATAGCAAAACAATTAAGAGTTACATAGGAGAGGAAATTGTGGAGAGCCATGATCGCTAGAGTCATGAAGGGATACGGTACACAGAAGAAGAAGAAGTCTATCTATACCAATATATCCAGAACTGCCTATAAACTGGCCTGTGTATATATAATCAAGCGAAAGTCAATCTGCAAGCAGCAGACAATGCATTGAGATTGATACAACCGTGTGTATATTATCCCATCAGTCAGACGTTTCTGAAAAGGAAAGAAATAAGTTCTTAGCAAAATACAATCTTAAGAAAAGGAGATTAATATTTTATTTTTATTCTTTTTTTTTTCACATTTACTTTAATGAAATTTTTCTCAACAGTCACCTTCACTTATGAATTGATGTCTAATCGTGTCTATGTCGCTATGGAAACGTCATGCAGACTCGATATGAAACAACAATTTACCGCCAAGTTGCACAAGAGCGTCCCATTGGATTGCGATGATCACGTAAGCAAATCCTTTGGCCCAGGATTCAGTTACGTTTTCATTTATTGGCCCGGCTATGATTGACGAAGCTGAGATTTCGCGTTACTAGGAGATTTTTATTCGATCGAATAAAAATAATGAAACAAGTTAGATTACAAAGAATTCTTGAAAAGACGAAATATTAAAAACGTCTGAATTTATTTTAACATAAAACCAATAAAGCGAAACAGCGAAATGCGAAAAATATAAAAGTTAGTGACGCAAATTATTATTAAAAATGGTTTAATTTTACAAAAAAGAAAATATAAAAATCATAAAAAAAGAATAATCTAAAAACACAAAAACAATATACCTAGAACCGACTCATTTGTGCATAAACAGCGTGCTTCAAGTATTTGTGAACGGAACGCTAAACTGAAGACGACCTAATACGTGCTATGTCGGCTTTTTTTTTTTTTTGGTTGGCTGTCTTTATGCGCCACTTTGTCGTGTCTTTTTTTTTCTTTATCCGGGTAACACGTGAAGACCCGACACACGAATACGACTAAAGAAACTTAATGCATCACTATCGACAAAACTTACAAAAAATTCTTTGAAAATAGGTTGTCATAGGTGAAAGCGCTGAAAAGATATTGGACAATTTATGCCAAAACTCTGAACGAAAGCGATGAAAATAAATAAAAATAAATAAATGGGGAAAATACTGCCCAAATACACCCAATATATATATATATATATATATATATATATGTTTATCTATAAAAGAAAAAGAATGTATAAACATTAAAAAAAATGTCTTAAAATAGTTGTCAGACTTTGTCCATTTCATAATGTGTGACGTCATTTGTTTACATTTTGATACGCATCAAGCAGATATGAATGTACGTGAGAAAATCATGGAAAATTGTAGCTTAAAAACAGTAACATCGGCCTTGCTAACCGAAGCGTTCCTCTGTGGCGAAAAGCTCGTTGGGCTATATGACGGTTCCATATAGGATACAGGTTCGATTCCTGTCGGAGGACGCATATTTTCTATGACAATTTCTCGGACATTCAGGCCGGTAAATGTTGTTAATACTGTTTACTATACACAGAGCATTTACTTAAATATTTGTATCTATAAAAAAAGAATGTATAAACTTAAAAAATGTCTTCATATATATATGTATATATATATGTGTGTGTAAAAAATATATAGGAAAGAAGTCGTTAGGTAAATTGAAGTATATTGGTATATTGAAGTTTTTTCAGCTCTTGTTTTGAGACATGAGAACTCTTATGTAGCGTTGAAATCATATTTTTAAATAAATTATATATATATATATATATATATATATATATATATATATATAATGCAAAGCTCTTCTATGAATCGAGCAATCTGAGTCACTGGCGTGTTTATTCAAAAATAAATACGTAAAACTTCACCTTCCTGATAGCTTAGGGGAAAAATCTCCGACTCGGATTGAGGAATCGGCTAGCAGAGTTCGAATTCCAGTCAAATCCATTACATTCACTTGCGTGCTAATACCCTTGGGAAAGGTATGAATTCTCTTCTTCTCCTCCAGCTATAGGTAAATAGCAGGACAGACCGGGTTCTATAGCCTTGTATGGCAACTGGTCTACCGCAAAAAGAAATGACAACCTACTGCGGGAAAAATCTGCCTTGTCAGTCATGTATCGAAAGATACATGATCGCCTAAGCGTGTATCACGCATGGCACATAACTGACTGATTATATCCACATTGCTGGATTTGATTTATTTAAAATTCTAGCACTCTCTGTCTAATCTACCTTGCTGGCTAATGGTAATTTTAGAGATGGGGGATTTAAAATTTTAAGTAACTCCATCTCTCCAAAAATTGACCTATCGCAAAGAAAATATTATAAATCTGAATTGATTCTTCGTCTTAATGTTTTCATATTCTGATAGCTGTCAGTAAATCAAATAAGAAATTTTCTTTGAAATAATTTATTTCTCTCGAGGGCAATTTTCAAACAGACAGAATGATAAAATATGTTTGCTTGTGTGTCTTTATACTGACATAATTTCTTTTGTTAATATTTTAATAGATTTGTTTGTTTTTTTTGTAAGTGATAAATACTACAATATTTGTTTTGAAATAAACACCACCTTGATGATAACATTGTGCTATGTCGAAAGTACTCGGACTAAAATATGTGTCAACACGGTAATTTTCTCTCTTCCTTTAATAATGAAACCAAAAAGCTTGTCGGTGAATGTGAAAGAATCCAACTGAAAATAAGTATACAAAACTTGTTTAAATTATTTGATGAAACATGTTTCAATGAATATATATATATATATATATATATATATATATATATATATATATATATATATATATATATATATATATATACACACACACACATATATATATATATATATATATATATATATATATATATATATATATATATATATTGCAAATACACACTGTTACAAAATATAAATATACTTCAAACCGGGAAACAATCTATGACCAGTTCCTTTCGAAATAGTTTATTCTTAAAGAACTTAGCTTTTTATATAATTCATTAGGTTGGCTTAATGAAATATTGCCTCTCCAACGCTTACATACATAATAATATCAAAGCACATATAGGAAAAAAGCAGTTGCCAAAGTTTCCATCAAAGTTTATAAGACTTATAGTACTTAAACGTTTCAAAGTCAGTTATTTACTAGTTATAAATCTATTACTTGACGGATTGTGCAAGACATTAACTTTAGACGCATGTCTTGAAAGCCCAGCAGGTATATTTAAACTAATTTCAACTGAATAATTTGTCATTGCTTAATTTTGATGAATCTTGTTCTTGGTGAAAAACTAATATACCATTGTTTGAAAGTCGATTAAAGTTGGTAAAGCAAGAACATTTTTTTATTTTAATCATAGTCTGATAGATATTTTGGCGTAGGTTTGATTTCTATAGTATAGTTTTCTCTACTCATAAATAAAAATGGCGTTATTATATATTTGTACGCTATCCAATTAAATTAATATAAGAAGGTCAATTACAGGAGATTGAAAATGAATATTGCCATTTGTACTTAAAGCACGCATTTTCTAATTTAAGGCCAATTTTTTAACATTAGAAAATCGGTATTTAAAAGAGTCACAAATTAGATTACAATTAGTCATAAATTCGTAGAGGCGTTACTGAAACGATAAAGGATAATCGAATTGATTTTTAAAATATTTTTTAGAAAACAATTCAAAACGCTTAATACAGAAATGCATTCAGAATTATATAGAGAAATTATCGGTCGGTGTTTTATACATACATACATATATACATACATACATACATACATACATACATACATACATATATATATATATATATATATATATATATATATATATATATATATATATAAACACACATATATATATTATATATAATATATTATATATAGTTATATATATAATATGTTAGCTCTATCACTGATATTGAGCGCTCTCCAATAAATACCGCGTATGTATAATAAATAAATAATACATATATATATATATATATATATCTATATATATATATGTGTGTGTGTGTGTGTGTGTATATAAAAGTTACATATATAGCATATTTCGTGTATTAAATCCTCACAATATTGCATAATGCTTCAGCCTTTTCTCATATTGATCTGAATTGAATGACTTACCATTTGGCGTCTCACTTTTAACGGAAAGGTTAGCGGAATATTTTATTACAGGAATGAAATAGTTTCTTATTGAGTGTCCTATGTAGTATGCGATTAACGTCAGGAAATAGCCTGAATCAAATTTAATGTCACTAAGGAAATTTTCTTCTAAGATAGGTTAATCTGCGATGACATGAACATAAACTCGGCTAATTCGCAGGTGATAACAAATTAACTACTCAGTATCAGGGCATTAGAGACGCCAGGTACATCAGCCCAATGACTTGGAAGGTTACCTCCTAGCCATCAGCTGCAGATTCGCGACTTCGTTGGACGTCAGTGGCTGTCTCCAGCATGTAAACTGGCAGGCAACCTAGCTGCATTTAGGATGTGCACACGTTACGCACAGGGATTGACAGGAAGATATATAAGCACCAACACGAGAAGGAAGAGACCGAGAGAGATCCTCACATCTTCGCGAGAAGAATTCCCATTTAGAAAAATCCTCCAACGACATACACTAACCCCCCACTCCACCTCGATATTAATTGACTAAGTTTGGAGCTGAAGAAACAAAACTTATTTAGAGATTTATTCTCGAGGTCTTATTAAGAAACAAGCAAATTGCGCTGAATTTTATCCAACGAATATGAACTTTTACGCAATGATTCTTGAAGATATTTTTTTCTTTCATTTTTATCATAACCTTTCCTGAATGTCACGCATAACACTCTATTTGACCTAGGCTTGCGGCCATATCACGTTGAAAAACCGGTTCTCGTACGATCACTGAAGTTAAACAACGTCGAGTCTGGTCAGTACCTAGATGGGTGACCGCTGGGAAATACCAGGTGCTGTAAGCTTTGATGTGCGTTTGGCGTAATGGATAATGGCTTTGAATCCGAAATCGGAAAGCTGAGTTCTAATTCCATTCGGGTTCGTTATATTCGCTAACGCGAAAATATTCTTAGGAAAAGTATGAACCACCTCATCTCCCCTAGCAATGGGTTAATTAAGACTGGTATCGTTAAATCATTATTATCTCCAAAGAAATTCTTACAATCTAAAAATATTTTATGGCTTTTAATAACCGGTAAATAGTTGATACTTCGTAAAAAAACAAAACAAATCAATCAATCTATTTGATCTACATTCGTATGCAGTTTTCGTTCTTTGATGCGGTGAACGTTAGAGCTCGTAACTGTCATTTTTTTCGTTGTTATGTAGGTCTGTATTCTTTTAGAACCAGTTTATATTTCTACATTGCTTCGCACAGGGTTTGAAATCACCAGTTCCAGAGAAATAGACATACTTTGTAAGATCTTTTATACGACGCCATATCGTAAAGGACATTCAGTATTGTATTTTAGGAACCTTAAAAAATGCTCTTTTGTCTTCTTTAATAAGAATCCTGAATATAATGTTCGCAGCTACTCTAGGTCTACTGATTGGGTTATTCAAGCATGGCATGTTTGCTGATTCTTTTTTTTTTTATTTTCTTATGTCTCTTATGTTGAAATTTTTCAGTTGAGGTTCGTATATCCTACTTCTAGAATGATAATGACACTTCTCCAACAATGTCTAACAATGACGCACACACACACACACACACACACACACACGCGCGCGCATATATATATATATATATATATATATATATAATTATTTTTTATAAAAAAAAAATTATAACATAAGTATGTTATAAAATCACTACAAAAATAGCCATTTTGTTTCAACACACTCTGTGTCTTATCAAGTGATGATGTTGAAAATAAAATAAATGGTTTTAAAAGTTTCAGATTAATTAACGATCCTACACTAGGGGGAAACATTGTTACAAAAGCTAGAATAACCAATCAAAAACGAAGTATAGAAAGATTCAAAAGCTTGACAACGAAATCATGTTATAATAGCTATTCAGATCTTTAAATACGTGTATTATTAAAAATAATTTATACTAACCAATAATTATAAAATTATATGATAAAATTTAATATCAAAATTAAAAACTGGCAATTTTAAAATCCAAATTTAATCACTATTAAGTTTAAAAACTACAAAATTATTAAGAAAAGAAAAAATATGTATGTTTATTCAATTCATTTTTTCACTGAAATTACGTTCGACAAGACGCTACAATATATCCGGTCATTTGACAATACATGTATATATATTTCTTTCTTTTCCCCTTCTTTTCCTTTTTTATTTCAAAGTGTGTGAATGTGGTCTTAAACTCACGCGCAAAACAACAAATTAAAAGAGTGCTCAATACAAAGTAGAGCAGATATAATTATTTTTTATAAAAAAAAAAATTATAACATAAGTATGTTATAAAATCAGAAAGCAGAAATATTTCTCCTCCCGATGATGGCCATTTCGGTCGAAACTAGTCGAGGAATCTAAATGGAATAATAATAATAAAAAAACGAAAGAATATTAATCTACAACCCAGTGTGTCTAATGATTTTAATTTTTTAATTTTTTATTTTCTTATTGTTCAATATATATATATATATATATATATATATATATATATATATATATAGATAGATAGATAGATAGATAATAATTAGTGGTAAATATACACATATGCAAAATATATAAATATACATAGGTGCATACACATACATGTATATTTTTTGAATAAAAAAGTCCGAGAGGATAGAATCCAGGTAGAACTCAATGTCCAGGACAGAGTAAGGATATAATAAAAAGGCTTAAACACTAATATTCCAGGGTCATAATTTATTCTATTGGAATCGTAAATACGATCCAATTCATCAGACTTCCGACAACATTCATATTTCCCCCTTCCACTCACCTCTAGTAAAAAAAAACCCCTCTCTTAAGTTTTAATCTCCCACCTTCTCTCGTCTGTTACCCCTCTCTTTAACACTAACATTCGTCCCACACTCTCATACTTACACTCTCTCTAAATTCTATTTTTATTTCCGGAGTTGTTCTTTTCTGTTTTCTTTTTGAATTTGTAGGTCTGATGAATTGGATCGTATTTTTTATTATATATATATATATATATATATATATATATATATATATATATATATATATATATATATATCATCAAGCTTCATCAAGCATGGAGGCGAGTCGATATTTGTTAGGTGGAGTTTCGTGAATGATTTTTACTGAAACCAAAATTATAATTTCTTCCTAACTGGGCGACATGGGGCAATTCCGCCGATACATACCGTTGGTGTTGGAGCACATTTAAACTGTCCAAATTTCGTGACTACAAGGAAATACAAAGTAGCCCTTATTAGAAGATTTATGAATCACAATAATCTGACCCACTATTTCCTCATAGGCAACTGAGGATTTCGCATGAAACTGCCAGTAGCGGAAGTGTTTGAAATGTTTTTTATAATTTTATTACATTTTAGGCCATATATTTTGTTTTACATTAAACGCTTTAATTTTACGACGTTGGCGCGTCTAGCGTATATTTTATGTTTAAAACACATATACACACGCACACATAAATACATACATACAGACACACACACAGAGGCATATATATATATATATATATATATATATATATATATATATATATATATATATATATATTGATTTAAAAGAACTTTAGACATTCTTTTTTATAATTATTCTTTAAGAATTCTATCGATCAACATTTCTTCAGACGGATTCGTTGGTGTGATTTAAGAAGCGACAGATACGCCTAAAACAGTTTATTAATAAAAATAATTACCGAATAAAATATAACAGTTCCAGTGAGTATAAAAGAGAAAATACATTACACACACCCTCCAAATAACTGATTGAGTTGGTAAATTTTTCTTTTTGCTTGCATAGACTCGATTGTCTTTTAATGTACACTGCTTCTAAAATTTTCAAATGAGCAGAACGAACTCTATGCAAGATAGTGAAGTAATCATTTTTATACTGATGTAAACAGTCAGGATTATCTTAAAGGGGCTGCCCAATAACTGATGCATTGCTTGGGTCGTCCTAAGAGTTCGACTAGAGTTATCTGCTCTTATACTAGAAGGAACGTTTTGACTGATACGGGTCTCCAATCTCTGATTGGTTCGTTCTGTGTATGCAGAATCACATTGACATTTAAATCTATATACTACGGCATATTATGTCATATTTTATTCGGTAATTATTTTGACTAATAAATGGTTTTAGTCGTGTTCCGTAGGTAAGTTTCCCTCCGTAATTTACTATTCAGTTCTTGTATTCTGTCTCGTGCCAAATCACACTAACGAATCATTCTGAAGAAGTGTTGGTCGTTTGTATTCTTTAAAAAAAAAGGAAAATAAAAAAGAAAGTCTAAAGTTCTTTTTAAATCAATATATTTATTCTGTGGTGTCAGATAATTATATATATATATATACATATATATGAAGAAAAATTTTGGAAAAAACAAACAAAAATCCTTAAATGCAATTATGTTGTTTAAAATGAATGAAATGTAGACGTCTGACATTTCGGTTTAATAAACCTTTTTCAAGACAATATTCATTACAATTCAGTTCAATTTAACAAAGACGATGGACATAAAAACAATCTTATCAAAAGAGATAACTGAAAATTTTTAAAATGAAACGTTCAGACGTCGATAAGACTTTTTCATTTTTTTAAAACAACATAATTGATTTAAGGATTTTTTGTTTGTTTTTTCCAAATTTTTCTTCATTCTGTCGATTTATATCCATTTACATTTGCTTACATATATATATATATATATATATATATATATATATATATATATATATATATATATATATATATTGCTCAAGCAATTATTAAGAATAGAATTGTTGAATTGTTCAACCTATTATAGTAAAAAAGATGTCCTGTGTGCCTACGCCTTTCTTGGCTAGGTAGTATCAGTGATAGGTTTGCTGAGCAGGTTTCTATCGCAGTTCGACATTGTTACTTTGCTGCTAACACTTGTGTTGTTTTCTCTGCCAGGCCTGTCCTTCCGTCTATGCGTAAGGATGTTCTCCCTCCACATCATAATAGTTTCTTAGTTTATTCTTTAAAATGTCGTTGTAGTTCGCGCTACATAGGGAGAACGACTCAGAGGCTGGATACTAGAATAAAGCAACACGTTCCAGCGAAAATCCGAAACGTTGAGTACACTCCCTCGGACATTTTGACCAATACATACGGGTCTTCCAACAACTAATAAATAGCCATAATTGTGCTGTTAGTTTTTGTGTGGACTCACTTAACATCCTAAGGAGCCTCCACTCTCATTACCACCCAAAATTGTTGGAGGCCATCTATATTCCATCGTTGAAGCCTTCTCTGTGTAAACAGAAGGATTTTGTATTAGGCCTCCAACTAATTACCATTTAATTTTTATTTAAAATTTTTTATTTATTTATTTATTTTTGTTTTTTTCCCACAATACACTTTGTTCATTTTTCGTTTTAAATAATTTAGTTTATTAACCTCGATTTCGCTCTGTTGAGCGAGGTTTGAAACTGGTTAACTAGTCCGTTATTCATTTTTACTTTTTATTATCATGAGTCGTAATAATAAAATTAATTATTGTCTATTTATGGCAGTTATAAAGTTTGTACCACTAAACTTATCATTATATATATATATATATATATATATATATATATATATATATATATATCGTAGCTGTCCTCTCGGTTTCGAGCGTGGCCACCTCCCTTATTTCATGTCCCCACCTACTCAAATTCTATGTATTCGCAGGTGACTCTTCAGGTCAGCCAAACTGCGACAAATTTTGCCACAGAATTGGCATACCCGATCAGTTTTGCTTACAGTGACATTATTAGGGTGCACACTAAGTTTTGCACATATATATATATATATATATATATATATATATA